GGGAAGCAGGGGGACGCAGGGGAACGCAGGGGAACCCAGGGGGACACAGGGGGATGCAGGGGGGACCAGGGGACGCGGGGGAACCCAGGGGAACCAGGGGGACGCAGGGGACGCAGGCGCGGGAACCCAGGGGGACGCGGGGGAACCCAGGGGGACGCGGGGGAACCCAGGGGGACGGGGGGAACCCAGGGGACGCAGGGGGAACAGGGGACGCGGGGAACCCAGGGGGACGCAGGGGGAACAGGGGGACGCAGGGGGAGCAGGGGGACCAGGGGGACGCGGGGAACCCAGGGGGACGCGGGGGAACCCAGGGGACGCAGGGGAACCCAGGGGGACGGGGGAAGAGGGACGCAGGGGGACGCAGGGGGACGCGGGGGAACCCAGGGGACGCGGGGGAACCCAGGGGGACGCAGGGGAACGCAGGGGAACCCAGGGGGACGCGGGGAACCCAGGGGGACGCAGGGGAACCCAGGGGACGCGGGGAACGCGGGGGAACCCAGGGGACGCGGGGGAACCCAGGGGGACGCGGGGGAACCCAGGGGACGCAGGGGACGCGGGGGAACCGGGGGACGCAGGGGGAACGCGGGGGAACCCAGGGGGACGCGGGGCGAACCCAGGGGACGCGGGGGAACCCAGGGGGACGCGGGGGAACCCAGGGGGACGCGGGGAACCCAGGGGGACGCAGGGGGAACCCAGAGGGACGCGGGGGAACCCAGGGGGACGCAGGGGGAACCCAGGGAGACGCGTGGGGAACATGCAAACTCCCCGGCCTGATGCAATGATAGCATATTAGATGGAGTTGTAAATCTAAACTCCACATCACTGCATAAACAGCTCGTGCTCCACCTTACAATCCAACGTATTAAAAACCCTCGCTTGGGGCAGACTCCTGCCGCGACGTTCCACCGGAGAACCACGGCCTCTGAACCATCCATCCAGTCCTTATTAAGGGTCAGACTGTGATGAAGCCAACAGGACTGCATCATCTGCAAAAACAAGGAAGCTGCCCTCCTCACATCAGCTACACTTAGAGATCCTGTTCGTGAATATCACACACAGGATCGGTCACACACCCTCGAGTCCTCCTACTGAGGAGCAGCCACAGCTTTCACTCCATTTCTAAATGGACCGCTGCGATACACCCCACAGACGCCGTCCTGGTACCTGGCTGTCCGAGTCTACAGAGCACTTATAAACCTCTCTCCAGACGTCCTGTGAGGGTGAAGATCTGGTCCGGTGTCCCACAGCCAGGATGGAATGGGGGCCCAGATCTTCTCAACAGTGAGTTAACGCCTCCTTTTCAGCTCTGTGAAAAATAACTTTCCAGGGGCTGAGCACTGCGATACCTCAGTGACCGATCCACAACATCCAGTTATTGTTTTAAAACTGGGATTTCCCACAGTGGTCTGCTCCACCAGCACAGGCCCACGGTGTTGACGGCATCGGAGACAAAGCTCCGCCTCCTCCACAGACGAGGGGAGTTTGGGTTCAAGAGCTGCTCGCCACGTTCTTTCCACCACCTGCTGGTCATGAGATCAATGCAAAGCGTAAGGCTGCAAATCTAAGCAGCTAGGATGAGCTTCATCTGCAGGCTGGCTCGGCTGGGGAGAGCCACCGTTCCCCTTTTATGTAAACGTGAGAATAAAGAGACAGACAGGCCCTCACAGCTAATGTCACTTTAACCTTAACATGTCAGCCTCAGTGCAAAGTGAGCAGCATGAACCTAAACCACACGTCGCTTATTTTTAACCCTGAACCTCAGAAAAGTCCATCATTGGAATCGGAGAACAATACCGAGGCAGCGAGTCGAAACAGGCCGCGCACAGAAACCGCTGAACTTGACTCGTAGCAACGGGCAAACAGACGAGTCCCAGAGTCTTACTTGTAATGCGAGTCCCAGCTCGGCCTGTTGCTCAGCTCGGCGAGTAAATCAAAGGCTCTGTGAGCAGGAACGTCCACCTCACATTCAATCTTGAAACTCAGCATGGACTTCTGCTCCAGGGTGTAAAGCTGAACCTGTGAACACAACATAAAGCGCCGATGGGCAGACTCACACAAACAAACAGCTCATTAGTGAGACGCACATACCTGGTCCTTCTCACAGCTCAGGCGCCAGCTGCTTCTGGCTGCCAGCATCTTCAGAGCTGAGACGTTGTTAAAGCTCAGATACACCTGGAAGCACAAACACAGGAACCACAAACTCATCTCCAGAGCTCAGCGTTAGCAGGCCGCCTCCCGCCATTCAAATACTACTTATTATATATGAATCAGCGCCGTCTAACAGTGTAAGTATTAAGGGTGCAAAATGAAGACAAACTGCTGCAGCACTATTTCTCATCTGCAGTGAAGGTGAAGCACAGCGGTGCGACACGTCGGCCTGTCAGAGGTTCAGTCGACTAAATCAGTCTGCAGGCACGGCGGAGTCTGACTGTGGCTCAGGTTTGGAGCTAAGTGGGACGACATGAACACGCTGAGGTCTGCTCGGTCAGATCATACAAACTGCAGTGGAACAAATCACTGAACATCCTTTAAGAAAGAAACAGAAATCATGTCCCACAAGTCGTGACGACGCAGCACCGACACACAGCTGAGACGCTGATGTGGGTGAAGAGACTCAGCTGAGAAAACTATTAAAGGTTTACTGTGTCCAGCTCAAGCACAGGCTGTGACAGGATCATCATCAGCTGACGAGCAGCTGTGGAAATCACCTTATTGGTGCAAAAATACTGTTTTATGTCCCGTATGTCCGGTAGATTCAGCTGCAGAAATGAGAACTAATGATGTGTTTGTGACAAGCTGCTAGTAACAAGGTGCCAAGTTGTCTTATTTGTAATACAGTAATACACACATGTATATAAAGAAAGTTTCTCTCCCGTGAGTCCACGAGGACTAACGTGAGCAGTACAGGTGACGGCGTGGAGCTTCTCCTCACCTGGTTGGTGGGATCCCAGGGAACAGACAGAGGCACCTCCCCCTGCGTGCGGGAAATGATGTACTTCCTAAACACAGAGGAATGCTGCATCAGGATGATGGCACTGTGCACAAAGCTGCACAACAAACGCTGATGTAGCTGCAGAGACGGTGCATTAGGGGCTGTTTGGAGACATGTACCTGTCCAGCCTGATCTTTTTCCTGGCCGTTGCCTCCTGAAACCTCCTTTGTCCTTCCTGTAAATGAGACGGACACACAGGCAGAGGGCACCAGTGTGTAACACAGCGGGCAGATTCCCAGCACCAGTTTATGACCAGTACACCGATCTGTGGCACAAACTGAGTGGAGTGTTATTACTCGGTGTTTGTTCACCTGATAACGACCCACGACTACAGCGAGGCCGCTCCATCAGACGGATTTATGACCGATAACATGATGTGAAGCTCTGATCGCTGCTCAGCCGTCACGGCTTAATGGTTAATCGAGTGTTTCTGCACCTTCTTTATGACACTCGTGTTTTATCCTACAGGACGATCTCCACAAGCTGCTTCACCACAGATGAAGCGTGAATGAAGCTGACACCAACATTATCCTGTCAATCTACTGCTCCACACTTTAACCCCACCAGCACACACTCCCCTGACCGAGCTTTCCTGCAGGTGTATAATGTGGAACAATCATAGTAATGCTGTATTTACATGATTTCAACATTTGAATGGAGTTCATAATAACAGCGTTCACAGTGACGGGGCATGTGGACGTGCTCAGGCCTGTGAGCCACGGACGCTGTGACGCTTCCACCAGAAACAAAGGAAGGAAAACGCACGCAGAGGCCATGTTTCCTGCTGCGCAGTCATCCATCCATCAGCACCACGGGCGGTGCAAAAGGCGGACCCAGCTACACTGATGTCACCCACCGCTGCCTCTGAGCTCACCTTGGGTGAAGATCAGCTGTTATCAGGAGTCTGGCTGTGAAACGTTCATAGCTGACACCTTGTTAGCCAATCAGAGTGCGGTTTCATACCACAAATTCTGAAGCAGATTTCATGTCTTTCAGTCAGTATTAGCCAATCACAGACAGCCGCGTCACATCCAGACACTTTATGGATGCAGCACGCTAACGAGCCGTTTGTGAGCGTTAGTTTAACTCACCAGGGGTTCAGGTCGTATCCGTGGTAATGTGCGTGGCTTCCCGCCATCATCGAGCACCTCAAAGGTCATGAAGGCGGAGTTTATGTGTCGGTTAGGCCCCTCCTCATGGTAGGCCTCCGTGCGCACGCCCACCTCCATGCTGCAGTAAGGACACGTGTCAGTATGCAACCAGTGGTTCTGTCTGCTGCACAGCTGCAGTGCTGCGTCTCTGCCAGCGTTCTGGGATACCTGTTTCTGAAGGCGTTGTTCACTATCGCCTTCAGCAGCAATCTGTCTCCAACCTGAGAAGGTCCTCTGAAGGTGAACATGTCGATGGCTCGAAGGGTGGGATGAGCCTGAGACAGACGGCTGCAAGCAGAGAGCACAGAGACAATAGGCCACGACCTCCCACGTGCTCGCCGTGTTCAGGTTACTCACACAGCTGGACAGATCCTTTAATCTGCCACGAGGGCTGAACTACACTGATCAGAATGTGGAGGTCAAAGGTCACAATGGTGCATCCTATTTTTAGGTAAAAATATGAAGGAAGGACGTGTTTGTGACTGTACCTGGCAGCGATTGTAGCTACGTTCACCATCCAGGCCATGATCTGCCCTCCAAATGTATTCACCTGGGATTCAAACACAGCAATGATCTGACAGGCAGAAGTCTCAGCGGTACCATCACACACTGATGAACAGTCACATGTAAAACAGCTGGGTGTGTGTAGGATCCATACACACAGGTCAAAGTTAGATGTTTAGACACAAGTTCAGCCATTCGTGTTGTTTCAGAAATCGCTCTGCCCGGGGCTGGGCGCTCAGGTATGTAGCAGCTCAGTCCCGGTGGCTACTTGGCGGGGCCTGGCGCCTGTTGCTCGGTCAGGCCTCTTCCGGGGCGTGGGGGCCCTCGGGCTCGGTTCAGTCAGGCACAGCTGGCTGCCGGCAGAGCCGGCGGGCACGCCACTGCAGCCCCCTCTGGCTTCTGCTCCGTGGCTGCTGGGTGACCCCTCATCTGGGGCTCTCCTCAGCCCTTCCCATGAGGGTGGCACGGATGCCCCTCCGGTGGTCCTCCTTGGGCTCTCGCACTCTGGGGCCTCTGGATGTCTGGGGCCTGGATCTCCTCCATGCCTGCTTCATGCCCTGGGGGGCGGGGCTATGGCTCTCTGCATCCTCTAGCAGACCATTACATGTGGAAACCATTTGAATACAAGCGTGCTGATCCACACAGGTGTTCACTGTCCATAGACACAAACTACACCTTTCTTGGCTGCTACTTCAAAGCACATTGTGCGCTGTTGGTCCTGCTTGCTGCACAACAACATTCAGTATTTAGTATTTACTGCTGTTTACACTTAGCTAGATTAATGCGATGCTGTTGTGTTTAGTATGTTGCTCTGTTTTTTGCTGGTTTTCTCTTTTTTCTCTCAACAGCTGATCCAGGAGATTTTTCTTCTTCTTTCTCTTTTTAAGTTTCCTTTCTCACTGTCCCTCTCCCCTTTCTTTTCTTTCCTGTCCCTCAGTCATGTCTGTCCCGTCTGTAACAATTGAAAATAAAATTAAATAAATAATAACAACAAAGGTCGATCAAATGGACCAATACGGCAAAGCTGTGATGATCCACTTGGTAAAGTAAATCCATTGGGTCTCCTTGTTGGTCTTCAGACAACAGATCTGGCTAAAGAACCAAATGGGACAGGCAAACGACCAAAACAAAATCGCTCTGACAGCAGCAGTCAGCGCCTCAGTCTACGCTCAGATGTAGTCAGTGTTTGGAGGCCACGAGCTGATGTTTTGAACCAAAAAAGGAGTAAAAGAAACAAAATGCTACTGCATCTCCACTTCAGCGTATTAAATAAAAGCCAAATGTTTTGTTCGTACGAAACGAGGCCACGCAGGTGTTTCTGGTGACAACAGCTTCAAACTCAGTCTCCTTCAAATATTCCACGTTGTAACAGCACGAGACAGAGCAGCGACAAACCGCCGCGTCCGCTGCAGTTCAGATGGGAAACACATGAAATGAACTGACCTGATGGTTTGCATGTGGAGGCAGAACCAGCTCCACACTCTCCACCCGAGTCCTCTCTGCTGCCACTGCACTGGGTCCCACTGAGCTGTCAACTGATACAGAAACAAGTCAAGTCGTCCCTCTATGTGAAGAAAGTACTAATTCAAGTTTGATGGTCATTTAGAGCCAGACGGTTGTCTTTGTTAGCGACCACAGCAGACGCCATGGAGCCACAGGCTAAAGTATCAGGTCAGTGCAAATGTTCTTCTCTCAGCTTCGCCGGCTTCTCCTCCTGCCTGAGCTTCCTTTGTCCTCCTCGCGAGTGCCCGGACCATCGCAGCCTTGCCTCCCTACGCTCGTCTTAACTCGAGTCGTTCCTCTCATATCCTCATTTCATGTCCACAGTGGTCACTCCCAGTGGAAACCCCGACATCTCAACTCCTCCAGCTCGGCCTCTTGTTTTTGTTAGTGCCACTGCCTCCAAACCATGGCAGCTCTCACTACCATGGTTTCAATCCTCTGTCACATATCAACCCTGAAACCTGTCTCTTTTCTTCCCCCGTCTGTTGCTCTGGATGGTTGAGCCCAGGTATCTAAACTCCTTCCTGTTACCTGCAGCCTCCCTGCTCTCCCTACAGGTCACATCATCTGCAAACCTCACCGTTCACAGAAGGGGCTGAGAGCAGATCCCTGCTGTGATGCCAGACACCTCCCCATGTCATGCACCAGCCTCACACGCTTCTCCAGCACTTCTGACATTCTCGTGTAAACCCACAGCTGCTCTATCCTGTGCTTTCTACACGCACAACGACGCAGTGAAGTGAAAAGACTTTGCTGTCTGCCGGGACGTGGCCGGGTGCGTCACTCACCCTGCTGCACCCACTCATTGGAAAGCAAATCCTTGATGATGTCATCGTGCACCATTCGGACCCTCCGCCTTTCAGCGGCCACGCTGTATTCAACCTGCTCCTTCTGCGTGACAGGAACAATGGGCTTCAAGGTCACCTGTGAGGTTCGGGTCAGGAGGTACCCCACACAGACACACACAGACACACACAGACACACACACACACAGACACACACACAGACACACACAGACACACACACAGACACACACACACACACACAGACACACACACACACAGACACACACACACACACACACACACACACACACACACACACACACACACACACACACACACACACACACACCACAGACACAGACACACACACACACAGACACCACAGACACACACACACGCACAGACACAGACACACACACGCACGCACACACACAGACACACACACACACACACAGACACACACACAAACACACACACACACACAGACAGACACAGACACACACACAGACACACACACACACACACACACACACAGACACAACAGACACACACCAGACACAGCACAACAACACACAGACACACACACCACAGCACACAACGACACAGACAAACACAGACACACACACACACACAGACACCACAGACACCAGACACACACAGACACACCACACACGACACAACACCACACACAGACACACACACACACACACCAACACACACACACACACAGACACACAGACACACACGCACAACACACACGCACAACACACACACACACACACCACACACACACAACGCACACACGCACAACACACACACAGACACACACAGAGTTTTTCCTTCCCACTGTCACCAAAGTGCTGCTCACAGGGGTCATGTGATTGTTGGGCTCTTCTCTGCATGCATCACTGAGGCTCTACTGTACAGTATAAAGCACCTCGAGGTGGCTGTTGTTGAGATTTGATGCTGTGTAAATCAAACTGAATTGAAAAACAACTAAAAACTCTTTTCAGACTTTTGGTCAACCTTTGTTTTTATGTCCTGGCATTGTTGTGAAGCATTTTGTGATGTTTATCTTGAATGGTTACTAGGTTACGCACTAAATTTCCTTTGAGATGCAACAACACATAAACAACACTGATATTCATCTAGTTATCAGTAATGTGGCAAACGTCCACACACTCTCCAGCGTGTCGTAATCATGCATCACACTCCCCGCACCTTTTGTCCTGTGCTTGTGCGCTGGGTAACAAAGGTGGCGTAGGCATGACAAACCCTCCAGTGACGATCAGAGAACAGGTCCTCACAGTTTACCTGTATGCCCACCTGAGGGGAAGCACGGGACAGTACGTTAAGGTAAACACACAGGGTTGTACCCGTGAGAACAGCACACGCAGCTAACTGAATGGCAGGAAGTTGAATTAGTGTGTTTAGAGCTCACAGTGTTCATTCATGTCACAGCCCCGCACAAAGAAAACGTATTAGGCTTTTTTATCAACTTCTGTGATTGAACATGATGTGGTGGAAATCAGCATGCCCCCCCACAGCCCAGTGGGCAGCTCTGATCCTTGAGTTGGCTTTACAAGTCCACACTCTCGGACTGCTCACTTTATTCAGCCTGCTGACGATGGAGGGGTGCAAACACCTGCCAGCTCTTACTTTGGGATTTTCAAGCAATGCTTTCATGCCTGATTTCAAAAACAACGAAAGACACAAAGAACAGCAGCGTGAAGTTCACTGACCTCCATGCTGGTGTTAAAGGCTCTGTTGACCTTTGCCCTGATATTCACCACCTGACCCACACTGAAGAAAGATGGAAAGGCGGAGTTACTACCTTCAGCCCAAGCCTTCCATTAGAGCTGGGCGATATGAGATTTTTCATATCACGATATGTTTTTTTCATTTCAGGCGATAACGATATCTATCACGATATAAGCCAAATAACTATATTGTAAGATTTAAATGTGCCGTTGCTCACAAGTAAAATGTGAAATAATCAGCAGCTTGTTTTTAAATATTTATTTCCCATAATAAGTTCAACAGGGTAGATGTACTTAAGGAACATGAGACTTTTTCAGATAAATAAAGGCAATATTGCAAACTACACAAAAGGCAGCCGCTAAAGCGTTTAAGTTTCAAAATAGAAAAACGAAACAGACTAAATTGTCAATTCCACTTAGAAACAAAATTAAATTCTAAAAATAAATCTTAGTTTGTTTTACAGAAGAACAGACAAAACTGACTAACTTTTGTCAATATCAAATAAACTGAGAACTAAAAGGAAATTCTCAATCTCTCCTTGTTGTATAGCTTAGCTTTTCAAACAGTTTTAACAGTTACTTTAGTCTGACAAAAGCCGAATGACGAATTAGCGCTTCCAGTCAGAGACTGAGGCTACGTCCACACGTACACGGGTATTTTTGAAACTGAGATTTTCCGTTTTCGTTTTAAAAAAATAATCCCGTCCACACGTAAAGGCAGAAATGAAGGAAAACGCTGCTATGAACATGCCAAGCAGCAGGTGGCGCTAGATTCCTAACCGTGCAGAAATGTTGGCCAATCAGAAGTCTAGAAGCCTCGGTGGGAAAAAGTAAACAAAGCTGCGGCATAGAAGCAGAACCGAGTCGTATGTGTGGACGGACAGTAACTGTGTGTATATGTAAGCATTTAAACACTGCAGAGAGTAGAATTAACAGTATTGTAGAAATTCATTTCACCGAAACAATAACGTGGCGCGCAGTGTGACGCATGCACCAGTTTATTGTATTTCCAGACTTGCTTTCAGCACAATTTACAGTGCACGCTACTCTGTTTTTTGTCAGACTTGAAATAGCCGAAATACCTTCACACTACGGAACTTCTATGGCTCTTCCGTTCGACAATCCCTCCGGCATTGGAACCATCATCTGTTTTCTCTTCGGTCACGCTCGGTTGATTTTTCTAGTCGGCACACTCATTTCCTCCATTACGCGCTGGCTCCATTACCCACTGGCTGCTTCCCAAACAAACACACGTGCGGCTTGGCACTTGTGCTGTACGTAACAAGTCACGCGACGTGACGCTGCGGCTGTGATTGGTTCGGCTCTGCGCTACTTAATTTAGATTGGCTGACCTTTTTTTTTTTTTTTTTTTTTTCCTTTTAAGAGGACAAGAGCGGCGAGGTCTATCGCGATAGCTTAATTTCTCTATCGAGTAAAAGTTATATCGCGATACATATCGTTATCGTTCTATCGCCCAGCTCTACCTTCCATACACACTCACACACGCCTCCTCTCACCTGATGGTGTGCTCAAAGTGGATGTCATCCATCGAAGCGGTGACGCAGGGACTGCCAGCGTGCCTCTCAGCTGCACGGTCGAACAGTGAGGTCATTACAACATGCACTACTTCCAACACACACCTGTGACACACAAAGCTCACCTGAGAGGCAGGCGGCGGAGTCCATCCATTTGAGCAGCTGACCCACGCTGAGCTCCTGCCGATGGTTGCTGTGACAGGGCATCACGATCTGACTCATTTTCACCTCTGTCGGGTTGTAGTTTTCTTCTTCTTCCTCTTCTTCTCCATCCTCTTCCTCCAAACAATCTGATGTCCTGGAACTCATTTGGAAAGCTGGGGAAACAAATGAAAGGAAAGACACTGAAGCTACAGTACTGTGCAAAAGTCTTGAGTCACACCTCATTTTCTTTTGCCCCCAAAGAGCCAGACTTTGTAATCATTTTGAAACCTGATACTAGTCCGATTTCAGATGAATGTCTTTTTGTTTGTTCAGTCACTTAAAACTGACCTATGACTCTTTTTGAAGCATTCAATTCAGCTTTATTTATAAAACACCAAATCTCAACAACAGTCGCCTCAAGGTGCTTTATACTGTACAGTAGAGCCTACAGTGATACATGCAGAGAAGAACCCAACAATCAAATGACCCCCTGTGAGCAGCACTTTGGCGACAGCGGGAAGGAAAAACTCCCTTTTAACAGGAAGAACCAGGCTCAGGGAGGGGCGGGGCCATCTGCTGCAAACGGCTGGGGCGAAAAAGGCACCTAACCCAGGAGGTGAACCAGTGCGTCTACACACAACAGACAATTTAGCAAAGAACCAACTGTAGACTGACTGAGCAGCTACTGCTCAGCACTCCCAGTCTGCTTCCCACCAAACATTCATCAGGTAACTGACTGTAAGTGTCAGTCGATGGATCCACGTCAGCCCACTATCAGTGGAAAAGAACGTGCAGCACAGCTGAGGCTTGTAAAGATGCACCTAAATAACGCACATAAAGAGTCCTGGAACAAAGTGAACACAAGTTTAGCCGTAACGCACAACGCCACACCAGACCTCCTCATGTGAACGGTCAATGATGGTGATTCTTTACATTTGCTTTGCAGCCACAGGATCCGGGCACACCACGAACTCCTCTGTACACCAAAGGAGTCCAGAGTCAGCTGTGAGGCCCTCTGACAGCTAAAGCGCGGTGGGATCTATGGTGGAGCTGCATATCACTAAGACTGTCTGACACGTGACAGCTGTGATGGCTGATTGCTTGGTTCTGTTGGTCACTGCATGCCTGCACAGCATCGTCTGCGCTGCATGCTCCAGAACACAGTAGGTTGGTTTTTGTTCTTAATGCATCAGATTTTCTTTTTATTGTATCCTATAGTTCAGGTTCTAATACATAGTTTGATATGTTGTTGATTGTTCTTTGTTTTCATTGTATTCATTTATGTGCTTATGCACATGTGTATAAATACACAGATACTCTATGTTGTTGTGCTACATGTAGGGTGTACAGCAGTTTGCAATGTTGTTTTGCATACAGACTATACAAACACATTATTAGAATTTTATTATTATATTATTATAAATATTAACCTGCAGTTACTGTGGGATGGTGCCAAAAACAGTATGTTATGTGTACTTAACAGCACTCGTGCCAAAGGCTAACAGAAAGAGCATTTAGAATAAGCTAACAGGAAGCTGAGGTAACCCCAGGTTACTGACTGTACAGACAGTATGTGAAACATGCAGAGCCAGACTTGCTCTCACTTGTTACAACTGATCTTTTGTGTCGTTGCTTAAAGTGGAATAAGATAGAGGAGGTGGCACCATTAAAGCACGGTAACGACAACAACAACCAAACAGAAAACTCCATGAAACTCAAAGTGGACACAAAGCAGAGCACTCAGGGTGTACACGCAGCTGAATGAGACGTGCTGTTTAAAGCACTTTGAGGGCTCGAGTAAAAGCTCCACATGAGAACCATTTACTACATGAAGACTGGATGAATATGACAGTGGCAGACTTTTCAGGGCCTCCACAGCCAACACCGGCCTGATAAGTAAAAAGCCTTTCTCTTGGATGCCACCAGGGGGCGCTGTCTTTGGCTTTCAGCCATACAAGTCTACGGAAAAACAGCTTTGTGCCTTCAGCGCAGTGAAAACGTTTGTAGCCTCAGTCAATAAGCAACACTGCATTCAACATAAAGTCGCTCCACGTATCAGAAAGGCTGGTCAACGAGGCTCTAACAAACCACAGTGTGTTTGTCAGCGTTGATGGAATCAGCTCCAAGCTTTCTGCTCGGGCTCAGCGCACACAGGTGAGGGCTGTGCTGCAAGCACGCCGCAGTTTGACACGGAAGCCTCGAGAGGAACTTTCACAGACTGTGGCCGTGACTCATGTTTCTGACACAGCTCGTGGTGGCGACACATTAACAGTTTCTTGAACGATCCTTCGTTCAGCTTTGGACCTCAGAGGTTTGTGCCAACAAGCTTCTCACACAGCGACTGGTCTGCTCAGTCCCAGTACAGATGTTGTCCTGGTCTGGACAGGTGGAGCGGGGACCGGTTACGTACCTGTGGTCTGTAGCTCTAAAACAAACAGCAGTGACCGTCGACCGGTGTCCTCCTGCACTGTGCACACAACAGACTCACAGTGACTGACGGTGACGCCCAGTCTAACCACTAGTTTCTGCCCAGCAGCTCCCAGTTCAGGTTTGTGCGTCCTTCTAGTTCCACAAACTGCGCCTGTGAGCCAGCCTGGTTTCCAGTCCGAGCCTAAACCCGCACCGAGACCATTACCTACATGTTAGTGTACATTAGAGGAACAAACCTGAGGGCGGCCACTCACACAGCTCCACAGACTCACGAAACACAGCGACCAACACGGATTTCGCCAGTGCCTTTCAAAATAAAAGCCACACACTATGTGCGTCGATTTGCTGATTATACCAACCATGTGCTGTACATGTGCAACATTTAGCTCCTGGATAATAAGCTGAAGGGAACAGCGAATTTTTACAAAGTCAACGGTCAAAAGTTTTAGATCAGCCCAGTTCTTCCAGTTATTTATTGCAATTAGTCCTTCAGGTCCAATGAAGTCTGTCCTTGGAATGAAAGGGAAGAGGTGACCTACCAGCAGTTTAAAAAAAGTTACCCCAAAGTGAAAAATAATGTACATTTCAGATTTATACAAAAAGGCTTTTTCAGGGCACGCAGCGTGGGTCAACAACTTAAAGCTGCTCTGAGCAAGCCTTCCTACAGGTAATGATGGCCAAACGAAGCTTGTGTTAGAAACGGCTCATTATTCCAAGCGTTTCAGTCCTCTGGTGACATCTGGTGGCCAAAATTATGAAGCGCAGCTTGAGTTTAAAGCGCTCTTCTCTACAGCACAGTGTGGAGTATGTGAGGCCCCGCCTCCACGTACTTATGCAGTTCATCACTGGACAGCTGTGTTTATAAATAATATGATATTAGGCCAATTTTCGTAGACATATTTTTGACCCGGGGGTAGAACTGATTGTGAACTGCAGGGGGTATGAAGTTGTAAAGTAACAACATGATGCATTTAAGGTCATCCTGTTTGGTTTTTATTTAAGCAGAGAATTGGTTCCACTGTGTGATGGCCCAGTCTGCTTTCTTGGAGATGATTTTTCCTGCCTCAGAGGAAAAATGCTCTCACATGGACAGAAGAGGCTGGAGTGCACAGGAACTGTAGAGATGCAGGTGTGCGCTCTTCCTGGTCCCACAGACTATCAGCTAAAGAGAATAAACACATTAAAGTGCTGCACATTTTGTAGAATAACATTAAGATTATTTTAAAAATAAAATGTTTTATTTTATTAAATTTAAAGAGTAAAGCGTGTAAAGAGTAAAGGTGGAGCGTGTGAGCAGCTTCAAGTTCCTGGGAGTCCGCATCTCCGAGGATCTCACCTGGACGACCAACTGCTCCAAGCTGGTCAAGAAGGCTCACCAGCGCCTCTTCTTCTTGAGGACTCTGAGGAAGAACCACCTGTCCTCAGACATCCTGGTGAACTTCTATCGCTGCACCATCGAGAGCATCCTGACCAACTGTATAACAGTCTGGTACGGGAACTGCTCTGCCTCGGACCGGAAGGCGTTGCAGAGGGTCGTGAAAACTGCCCAGCGCATCGCCGGAGCACCACTTCCTGCCATAAAAGACATCTACAGGAAGCGGTCAAAGACCCCAGTCACCCATCACATGGACTCTTCACCCTCCTGCCCTCTGGGAGGCGCCACAGGAGCCTCCGGACTAAGACCACCAGGTACCGGAACAGCTTCTTCCCCACAGCTGTCAGACTCCTGAACTCTGCCTCCTGACATCTGACCCACGTTAACTCATGGACTGAACATACACACACCCACAATGGACAACTGTACCCTCAAACACACAATAATAACATGGACTGAACCACCACTCACAACCACCAGCACTTTATATAGCCTCTGTAGAAACTATCTACACCCTCACTTATCTTAACTGCACTACTGTATAGCTCTGTGTAAATAATCATTCTGTACATTCAATAATCTTTAATCCTACAACTGTTTACAACTTGCATAGTTCCCATTTCTGTATAGCTGTATATCCCAGATTCTGTAAAGTTATTTATTTCATATTCTGTATAGTTTTTCATATTTATATCCTGTTCATATCCTGTACATATCTTGTACTCACTACAGCCTGTACATACTTATAGTTATAGAATATTCACAACATACTTCATACCGTGTACATTATAACATACCATAATAGACCCATTTCTGTAATATACTCACATATCTATATTATTGCTAATATATATTGTAATATATCTATATCACTAAGCACTTCTGGATGGATGCAAACTGCATTTCGTTGCCCTGTACCTGTGCATGTGCAATGACAATAAAGTTGAATTCTATTCTATTCTATTCTAAAATGGAAGTCTTTCTAAAGTTATTTAATGACATTATGAAAAGCAGATTTGTTTTGTTAAAACATTTAAAGTTTCTCATGTTCTCAGAGAAAATAAACGCGCAAAAAACAAAAGCAAACAACAAGAACACAGACTTAGCAGACTTAGCTTTTCGTGGAGATCATTTCTCCTGCCTTAAGGAAAATCCCTTCACATGGCCCAGAGGAGGCTGGAGTGCAGAGAAACTGGTAGAGATGCAGGTATACAGTCTACCTGGGCCCCACCAACTATCAGCTAAAGAGAATAGATTACATTGCTGCACATTTGGCAGACTAACATTTTATAAGATAAGATAAGATAAGATAACCTTTATTAGTCCCACACGTGGAAAATTTGTTTTGTCACAGCAGGAAGTGGACAGTGCAAAAGTTATGAGGCAAAAATTAGAATACAATAAGAATAAATACAGTACACAACTGTACAGAATAGAATAAAATAAAATACTATATACAGTAGAATAAAATAAAATAAATATACAATAAGATAAAAATAGAATACAAATACAAATACTATATACAACTGAGTAAAAATACAACGATGACAGAAAGGATTATTGCACTTAGTGTTATTGCATATGTATGGATGTGTGTGCTTGATCAGTTAAAGTCTTTGTTGTGGAGTCTGACAGCAGTGGGGAGGAAAGACCTGCGAAATCTCTCCGTCCCACACCGTGGGTGCCGCAGTCTCCCACTGAAGGAGCTGCTCAGTGCTGTCACAGTCTGCTGCATGGGGTGGGAGATGTTGTCCATCAGGGATGACAGCTTAGCCGCCGTTCTCCTGTCACTCACCACCTCCACTGGGTCCAGAGGGCATCCTAGAACAGAGCTGGCCCTTCGGATCAGCCTGTTCAGTCTCTTCCTGTCCCCAGCAGAGATGCTGCCGCCCCAGCAGACCACACCATAAAAGATAGCAGAAGCCACCACAGAGTCATAGAAGGTCTTCAGGAGTGGGCCCTCCACCCCAAACGACCTGAGTCTCCGCAGCAGTACAGCCTGCTCTGCCCTTTCCTGTAGAGGGCGTCTGAGTTATGAGTCCAGTCCAGTCTATTGTTCAGATGAACACCAAGGTACCTGTAGCTGTCCACAGCCTCAATGTCCATACCCTGGATGTTCAGTGGTTGCAGTGGAGAATGCTTGTGCCTGCGGAAGTCTACCACCAGCTCCTTGGTTTTACTGGCGTTGATCTGGAGGTAGTTCAGCTGGCACCAGTCCACAAAGTCTTGGGTCAGACCTCTGTACTCCTTGTCGTCCCCATCAGTGATGAGGCCGACTATTGCAGAGTCATCAGAGAACTTCTGCAGGAAGCACTGGGTGGAGTTGTGGGAGAAGTCTGCAGTGTAGATGGTGAAGAGGAACGGAGCCAGAAGCGTTCCCTGTGGGGCCCCCGTACTGCAGACGACCCTGTCCGACACACAGCCCTGAGTCCTCAGATTAATTTTCAGATTAATTAAACAATAAAATATATAATGTTATAACATTACATGTAAAGAGTCAAGTGGAAGTTTTTCTAAAGTTATTTAATTATATTTATATTATGATTCGCTTCCTTATAAACCATTGAATCAGACACGAAGCAGTTAGGCTCTAAATGAAGCTTCGGACGTCACCGATCACGTGACTCTGGCCAAACGAATCAAGCTTCGACACAGAGCTTCTGAAGCAGTGTGTTCATTTTTTTGACACACGCACTGAAGCGTCAGCTTCAAGCGAGCCATCACTATTGTAAGGAGAGCTGTATGGCAAATAAATACTTCCTGTTCCACTACACTTGCCTTGGTCCATCTCACTGTGTTTCCAGCCCTGTTACAGTCGGTCTGTCCTACAGAGAAACTGCAAAGAAAGTCAAAGTGTCAGTGAGTCCAGTTTCCTTCAGCATCAAAGGCTCAGAAACTGTGACAGGAAGACGTCTGCAGACCCAAAGACACGACTGAATCAGAGGACAAGTTTCTGAGAGGTAACAGCTGATGGCGGCTCACAGGACAGCAGCTTCAAGCAGCTTCATAGTGGTCGTAGTGAGAAAGTCTCAGTTCCAGCTGTGAAGAGAAAACTTTGAGCTGCAGGTTTGACAGGACGAGTTGCAGAAAGAAAGTCAGACGTCAGAATAAGACAGAGGTTTGTCTGGGCCATGAAACACCGACACGGGACGACTGAAGACTGGAAGAAGGTATTATGGACTGATGGATCATCACGCAGGATCTTTGTACGGCGTTCAGTAGGTAAAGGACGGTTCCACAGTGTGTGGCATCAACTGTCAAACATGCAGGAGGAAGTGTGATGGTCTGGGGCTGTTTGCTGGATCCAGGGTTGGTGACTCGTACAGAGTGAGAGGCTCCCTGAACCAAAACCGCTACCACAGCATCCTGCAGCTCCCTCTGGGGTCAGGGGTTCATCCTACAGCAAGATAATGGCCCAAAACACGAGTTCAAGCTATGCCAGAACTACCTCAGGAAAATAGAACAAGGGAGTGTGCAGCACAGTCTCCAGACTGAAACCCCATCGAGCTGGTTTGAACTGGACAGAAGAGTGAAAGCAAAGCAGCTACAAGCTCCACATTCATGGGAACTTCTGCTACAGATTCGATTTCTACTGTAGAAAGAAGCCACGAGTCAGACGTTTAGAATACACTTTGGTCTATAAATTGATTCCATGATTTCTTCTTTAACTCCAGTTTCTTATTTGTATATGCTTTTATTTCAGAGTGCAACGAAACATTAAACGGCATAATTTTCCATAAAAGACTTTAAAACCTGGGATGTTCTTGGCAGCGTATTTGGGCATTTATTTTGATGTGCGTTTCAGTAGAAGGACTAGATGTTACAATCCCTGATTATGCACTGCTTTAAATTGAGAAAGGTTTGAGGGACGGCTGTTATGAGGAAAGCCCAGAAACTTTGCTAGCAGCACATCGTCGTGTGCCTCAACTGTCGGTCTCTTACCCAGGCTAATCTGCCATTTTTCCTTCCTTGGTTAGGTTTAGGGATTAGAGATCTGATCTAAATTATCGTATTAAATCTGGGACACATCATCAGTAGTGGACCTTGGATTCATCGGGTGTTTCAGCCATTATCACCAGACACCCTCATCCAAGGAGGCCCTGGAGTGTGTCTGGTTTATGTTAAATTGTTATTTCTCTCCTTTCTTCTGTTTACAGTTTATTTTCTATCTATTCACTGCAACTGAGAAGTAATACTTACCTCTTTAACATTTATGGAGCCTCACTTCTTCAAAGGCCCAGAAAAGGTGATCGAGAGACGTAAGACAAAGGGGACACGATAGGAGAGAGCAGGAAACAGTGCACTGTTTGGTGTTATGAAGCAGGTCACACAAACAGGAAGGAGCAGATTTATGGACACTTGTATGTGAGAAGCAAGATTTTAAAGTAAGAGTAAAATCACAATCCTTGCTGTAGATTTCAGGTCAGCGCTGCCACTTTTAATACTGTTCTGACTTCTATGAGCATTTGTGTCTTTAGCATTTTGTCAGAACGACAATTTTAACAGGATCTTTAGATATCTGAAAGCAACGTGCCGTGATAAATCCACTGAATTACCCGCTGTTTTTTCTTAGCTCCCCACTGTATGCTGTGAGTTTCCTCAGACTGCTAAACTCCCTTTGCTTGTGAGCTTCATTCAGGATGTATTTGTTCTGTTTAGGATGTGGAAGACTGACTTCTTCAGCCTGAGCCTGGTGTGATTTACCTTGATAAAATGGTATGTTGAACTACAGAAGATAATCATGCAAACCCACCAAATGTGTCATTTGTGGTTGTTCTCCAAGTATTCAGAACGCCCTCGGCCAGAGGCCATGTCCTAACATGAGCATAAACAGTCACTGAACAGGAAAACCACTCATTTGCTTTTCGATGTGGAAGGAAAAGTATGTCCACACGTTTAACATAGAACAGCAACCCAACGAAACGTGTTGGGTACTGACATGCTTCAGGACGTAGCCTTAGCTTGGAATTTACATATGAACAGCTTGATAACCTTAATGAGAAAGAAAGAATAAACAAAGTGTTGAGAAAAGCAGCCTTTATTCAGAATAAAGATGTAGATGAAGTGTGGGTGCAGCTCCATGAAACACCCGGACGCTGTTACTGACTGAAAGAAAATCAGGAGTTTTGAGAAGATGCTGATTTAGATCCCAGACACACACAGACACACACAGACTTCACAGACACACACAGACTTCACAGGCAACTGACTGCTGGCAGCGCATCGCTCACACAAACACACAACAGATGTATGAGGTCTGCAGTCCTACACAGCTCCATGCAGGTACAGTGCCAGGAACTTGCTGAACGCCTCAGGCTTGTATCCGGCCAGACCAGCTGGTATCTGTGGAGACACAAAGCAACCAATCAGAACCATTACATTTTCACTGTGGCTCCTCCCATCACACAGTCAAAAGGAAGCATGTGCAATACGTCTGTAACAGTTTCCACCAGTCTGTTTAACTATGCATCAAAAATGTTGCAGCTAAAAATTAACTGCACTCTGCAGTAACTGTGCTCTGCAGTAACTGTGCTCTGCAGTAACTGTGCTCTGCAGTAACTGTACTCTGCAGTAGCAGAGCGCAGTTACTGCAGAGCACAGTAACTGCAGAGCACAGTAACTGCAGAGCACAGTTACTGCAGAGCACAGTTACTGCAGAGCACAGTTACTGCAGAGCACAGTTACTGCAGAGCACAGTTACTGCAGAGCGCAGTAACTGCAGAGCACAGTTACTGCAGAGCGCAGTTACTGCAGAGCACAGTAACTGCAGAGCGCAGCAACTGCGCCGTTAGAGTACAGCTTCCTGCACACTGACACAGGAAGGCTGACAGCTACACAGATAAGTAAAGTTAGTGAAAGCCACGCCTCCCCTCAAACAGAAACTGTACCTTGACTTGCTTCTTTTTAATGAGCGGTCGAACTTTTGCAAAATCATACAGCTCAACGTCTTCTTCCAGCCACATCTGCAAACAGACAAATGGAACAGCTAAAACAGACTGCTGGGGTTTAACTTGGGACTCATTAGCTGGAGGACAAAGAACAACTTGTTGACACATCCATAAGCTTAACGCTGAGTAAGCACACAGGGTTACTGAGGCCATCAGAGACGTAGCCACTGTTCCAGCATCGTCACAGCAGTCTGCTCTTATGTTTGTGGCCTAAACTGGGCTGGTAAGTTGTGGAGTTATTACAAACCCTCAATAACACAAGGAAGCACCAAGACATACATAGCATTTACATACTGGCGAGGAGTGAGCCGTGCCTTTGTGCCACACTGACAGGTTTGGAGTGATACTTAGCACAACATAGCACGAGCTGTAAGAAGGAAATCATGGTGAACAATACAGCGAGCACTGAATCTGTAGTCAAATCCTTGAATTGTAAATGGACTGCATTTACAGCAGTGATATTTCCCTACTCATCAGGCCGTGATGTCAGCATCCTGTACTTTCTTTTTCCAAGGCTGAATGATTTCACAGCATAAATAATCCACACAGGTTAACACGCTTAGATCTGACTGGATGCTGGCAGATTATTCTCCGCTCTTCTTTGCTGAGTTGTTCATTTGAAGTGGCTGGTTTGAAAGCTTCACTCTGATTTTTCTCCACGTGAAAACAAAACAAACCATGAAGAAAAGCTACAAGTTTCCAAAGTGTCCACTGATTTGAAGCAGAGAGCACACAGTGTGAGGACACACGCAGGTCCCTGGGCTGTGTCCTCTGATGGGGGGGAGGCGTCTGGGTCTTCATCCAGCTCATCTGAATAACTTAAACTGTTTGAACTGATGATCGTGGAAACTGCAACATGACCCCTTCTGACCAGTACTGGGCAGTAACTGAGTACTATCAAAGGAATCCTTTGTATGCAACAGTGTAAATGGACACTACACCTGACACGCCTCCATGATCACTTATGACAGGTTAATAGGTTTTAGCCTTGATGCTGCAGAGCCATCAGCACCACTGATATGTTGGAATCTGCACATATATGTTTAGAGAAAACACATTTTACACACAGTTGTTGTTTTTTTAAAGTCATTAAAGACGTGCTGTAGCCTCGTCCCAGAGAAACACGAGTGCGTGCAGGCTTCTGACCACACCCCTACAGCCCAGGATTCCTCACATACAGCTCACCTGGTTTTTAATTCCATCGTCTCCTGAGAGGTCCGTGGTATTCAGCTGGAAAACCATGAACTGGAAAATCCTGCCATTGGTCCCGACTGACTGCACGGTCACAGGACGGTCTAAGAGTCGCTGTGGACGAGTCTGACACACATGAACAGGGATAATTAAGAAACACAACACTGTTCAAACTGAGGTACAGTGTTGCTGTTCGTTTGCACGCATGCTTACCCCGTAGAGCTTGTGTGCACGGGCCAGCGCGTTTCCAAAGGTAAACATGATCATCTTGGTTCTAAACTGCTCTGGGCGGAGCTTACAACGAGGATCAGCTGACTCCAGGAAGTACAGCGTGTGGGCGTGAGGGTAAGGGTAGTCATCTCTGAAACCTGAGTGGACGTGACAGACTTCTGTCACTGAGCGTGAGGAGCAGACACAAGCACACCTGGACCCTGACCTGCGTTACAGAAAGGACGACAGCTGGCTAACCTCTCACCTGTGTGGTTTACCTCCTCTTTGTACACGTGCACTTTCTGGAGGTCGATAGTCGGGGAGACGGGATAGAAGGCGTCCAGGACGTGATCCGCTGTGTCGGCCACCTCCTGTTTACCAGACATCTGTGGGAGAGGATCCGTGCTGTTCAGCAGTAAACCGTTCTGACCTCTTATCTGGAGGAGATCCTCACCTGACACGCAAACACGTTGGATCGTATTAGTCACGACTCGCAGTCAAAGCGATCCTGCTGAGCACGAGGGTACGATACCTCTTTTCCACGTGGTTGCCAGCGAGTAGTTCTCTGCAAGCATCCTCCTCCCGAGGGCCGGGTGGCTGCACTGCAGCGTCGCACACAGGTGCAGCAGGTTGAGCAGCAGAGTGTTGCTGAGGAACAAGCAACAAAGGGACAGTTAGTTTATACCGTTCTGTTTCACATTTAAATAAAAGAAATAATATGAGCATTATCATGACTCCGCCTATCATTACTGCTGCTGTGTGGAACGTCTGGAAACAGTCTCTGATGAACGTTAAGCTCATGAAGGGACAGGTCACTGCGTTCATGCGTTAACTCCACTGCACCAAAGCATAGATACGAGCTGTAATGCAGCTCTAATGTTCAGTCCAGTGGTTCTTAAGCTTGTTGGAGGAGCGAGCCCCACCAGTTTCATATGCGCATTCACTGAAGCCCTCTTTAGTGAAAAATTAAATGTGATTTTTTTCAAATTCAAGACATAGATATGTTTTTTTACTGGTGCACAAAATGAGCTGTGCATGTCATGGTGGAGGCTCTGCCCAACCCCTGAGACTGACTCACCGAACCCCTAGGGTTCGACTGAACCCAGGTTAAGAACCACTGGTTCAGTCTTTGTTATGTGGTGTGCCGCAGACAAAAGCCTGATCCTTTGACTCTGTGGCTTGTTTGGAGCAGCTGTCAGCATGTTTGCTTCTCTGCATGCGCCGTCACAGGTTTGTGTTGGTGTCTGTCGGGGACCAGCTTGTTTTCTGAACACACAGAGGCAGCCCCTCGTTTCCAAACAACCCCTCAGGTTGTTTTGGCTGGTCCCACGGTGGTGCCATGGGGACAAAACCATCAACTGAAGCAATGAAAAAATATTGCAGTAAACAGTACACGTGTCACAGCCCTAAACAGACTGTATTCAAATGATGTCAGATCTTCCTTACAAACAGTGGTGAATCATGGGTTTGCAAACACACATCCACATGTGTAGAAGCAGTTATTCCTGTTATCAGAATACTTTATGAATCCCTGAGGAAAGGTTGCATCGAGTCGAGTGTGTCTGTGGAAGTCCACACTGCAGGGACTGATTCTTATAGAGCGCTTTTCTATAACCACATCCCAATCACACCCGAGCACTTTGTCTATACTAACTACATCCACACACATTCATACTCTGATGGACGCATCGGAGAGCATCCATGGGGTCCAAGGACACTGTAGACTGGAGGAGCCAGGGATCGAACCACCAGCTTTCGGTCAGTAGTGACCTGCTCTGCCTCCTGAACTACAGCCACCCCACATGTGTAAGTATAGATGTCACCCAACCTGTATTTCTCTTTACGCGGTCGATCCTCTGTCGTGTCCCAGAAGCGTGCGTGTTTGATGGCATTCTGCACACGCTCATCCTGATCTGGGATCTGGTTTTCAGGGTTCTCTGCGAGGGAGAGGAGCTGTGCAGGGAGACCTGGGATCACCTGGGTTTTGGTCAGCCAGGCAGCCTGACGCACACCTGAGACCGACAGGCAAAAGTTTATATAAATAAAAGTGAAGATTTCAGATAAAAGCTTTTTAAAATGAATCAAATCTGCGTGATCACGTGGGTCTACGTTTAGCTACAAAGACTTTCAAAATAAACCTCTCTCAGAGTAAAGCTCCTTTTGCGCCTGTTTATTAAAGTCTTGATTATGTTGCACATAAACAAGCATCATATGAGTGGTTTCTGATGAGGCCTGTCAGTCAGCCGAGCGTCCCTTGCACTCCCGTGGACTAATAATGCTCATGTGTGTCTAATGAACCCCGGGCAGCGACCACCGGGCAGCGGCGTGCTCAGCGTGACACAGCCGTTACCTTCCAGCGCGCTGGTCCTCTGGTTGAACATATAACACGGCTTGTCCTTGTACAGCCGCATCTCGTGGGCAGGGGGAGACTTGTAATATCGCGGGTCCTTGTAGTCCCTCTCCCAGTGCTGGGGAGCAGGTTTCGCCAGCCCCGGGACATAGTGCATCCTCTCTCCGTATGTGACCATCTCCAGTCCTGGGATTTCGACCCTCTCCCTAGGTTTCCGCGGAGGGGGGACCTTGGCTGTAAGGCAGCGGCCGACAGTGAGGTGTCTCCGGGCCCCTCCATGTGCCGACAACCGCTTCAAATCCGTCAAAAAGGCGGCGTGAGAGAAGAGCGGAGCCGCCGTTTTTAAACGCTGAGCCGTTTCAGGAAACATTTCTCCTCCCGCTGTTCTTCTCGTTGAGCCTTTAACAACAAACTCCGACCTGAATCACTGCTTGTCTGTAACCGTGCTGTGGGACAGCGCCATGACACTTCTTCTTCTTCTTCTTTTAATTTGTGTTGAGCTGTAAACGGGGGAGCATAGCGCCGCCTGCTGTTACCTGTTTATAATCTTAATCCCGCATTTTGGAGATTATGAAGCCGTTATTTTAAAACAGCATTGTGATTTCTGTATATGTTGAAACAGGCCGTTCCTGTATCTGATGGCCGCTGACTTCTTCTCTGACTGTTTGGCAGTAAAAGTGCAAAGTCGGCTACTCGTGACAGGATAAAGAGACTGGCGAAAAGACGGATGCAGTTCGGGACCATAGTAGATGACGTGCTCTACCACCTGAGCCAGCCCGTCACGTCTTTCTCAGCTTGGTTACTACAATACTTGAGAGGAGCTTCCATGTTATGGAGAGGCAGGTAATTAGCCGGGAGTTTAAGGGTGTTGTCCCATTGTAGGGATTGTTTGCATTCAGAACTGGTCTATTCAATTCAGTTTTATTTATACAGCACCAAATCACAACAACAGTCGCCTCAAGGCGCTTTGTTTTATAAGGCAGACCCTATACATACAGAGAGTAACCCAACAATCATATGAGCAATGACTTTGGCGACAGTGGGAAGCAGTAGCGGTTTTAGATACGGGCGGATCACGGCCAGCGCATAGTGGGAATGTCACAGGCACCGATCGGTTTTCTATCACCCATTTGCTGGGAGTAAGGGCGCCCTCCGCCTGCGAGCTGCGCCTGCTGCTGGCGGCACAGGGAGGAGAGGGCGGGGCGGCGGGGAGTCTCTGGCTGGAGCAGCGTCTAATAACCAACTCGCAAAATAAAACAAAATAAAAACAAAGCAACAAACACGAGAACACCAGACATCATGATACAGACTTATAATTCGCACCGATGTTTTTTCGAAATTCTGTACGCGAAAAGTGAGCGCGAGAGCCCTCGGTGCGCCTGCGCGCTGCTGAAGTCAACGACGAGGCTCCAGCTACAGCAGTGCAAGTAAACAAACAATAAATATACACTTTAGGACTCGGGGTCTGTGACACAGGACCCACACACACACGGGTTCTGCTTAGTGTCTTTTTATTTTGGAAATAATCTGCGGTTTTTTGGCAGCCGCCTCGGACGCAGCCACTCCCTCTCTCTGCCAGCATCATCTGCTCCATCTCACTGTGGGCACACAAAAAGACATCTCCCTCATTAACACTGTCCCCTACACCTGTTGCCTCCCCGCCTCCGTGCCGCCCAGGGAGCTCAGTGTGTCACCCCTCCTCTGCAGCAGGCCAGCAAACCACGCTTCCACACCGCCCCACCGAGGCCGGGGACCAGGGATAAAGGGATCAATAACAATTTAAAATTTATAATTTACAGTTTGATGATTTAAAGTCACACACACAACCCGTCGGAAGGGGAGGGGGGCCGGCTGCTTCCAAGTAGAGCACATTTCATTCATAATGATGTAAATTATGTATTCATGATTTGAATCCTGGGTTGTGCGAAATCCCAGAAATACACCTTAGACAAAGTGAATCTGTGAACTAAGGTGTAGGTGTGTTAGGTTAAGTTGTGGTGATCCTTGAGTTGGGGGATTTGTGTTCATACTGGAGTGCAAAATTAAAACCAATGGAAGATGGACAAGACAAGTTCAAAGCCATCAGGTGCTCAGCTTAGAAAAAAGATAAAAGAAGAGGAGGAGAAACAAAAAGATGTGTGATTGGATCATGGCAGGTCATCCTGAACCAATCAGAATCAGAATACTTTATTAATCCCTAAGGAAATGATGTGGGTTACAGTCGCTCCAAGAAGAAATGGTAAACATAGCAACAGTAACAGACTAAACTCCAAACATTATGTTACAGATTTTAATATAATATTAATTAGTCGTTGTCAATTGTTGATTTGTCCTGTTCTCCTTGTATGATGAATTATGATGGCTGTTTGGTAGCTGTTTGCATACAATGCATACTCTCTCTCTTCATATGGGGGGGGGGGGGGGGGGGGGGGGGGGCAGAGGGAGTGTTCGCCCGGGGCCCCAAACAGGCAAAGACCGCCACTGGTGGGAAGGAAAACTCCTTTTTAACAGGAAGAAACCTCTGGCAGGACCAGGCTCAGGGAGGGGCGGGGCCATGTTAGCTAGCTCTGAGTACCTGCTGTTAGCAGCACCCATATTTGTGCAGCCAGCTGATCACTGAGGGCCATTGGCCTCTTCAGCCAGTAGGCACAGATAATGTCAGGTCTTGGCACCGTCCAACTCCTCATTCTGAAGACACATTATTAGATGTCTGCCTTTGAGATGTTGACTGGGTCTTGCTCTGTGAGATTGTCGTGGTCTTCGGTTCACCGGCTACCTTATGTGACGCTGCTTTCTCCACGATGTTCTTTCAGTATTGCTCAATTTCAGCTGGGTCTGTCTTTGTGCTATTTCCCCTCACAGCATGGAGCTCTGGAGAACAAGCCACTTTTTTCTGAACCTCTTCTTTCCTACTAGATCTCTTCAGTGTACTGGGCCGAGCTGTGAGCCATCTTGTAGTGCTTCTTTTTCACCCAGGATATGTTTCTCATGGTGTCTATCTGCACCGCTGTTCACTGACTTCACTGATTTTGGCTTCCTGCCTTCTCCTCTGTGTGGAGCTTACTCTTTACAGTCTTAAACCCAAGTGCTTTTAGTATTACTGTGGCATTTGCATATATGACCTCATTGTTTTTAGTGATACTGGCAGTGGGGATCATGTGTAGAGCACATCTGCAACCATCCTCTGACGAGACGTTTTCAGTGAGCCAGTGGAGTTGTGTGTTTGGTCGGTGGGTACTGTGATTGCAGCCGGTCCCCAGCTCTCTGTAAACGGCCATTGATCAGTGGTTATAATAATTAAGGACCAGTAAACTGAACTCACAGTCCATTCTTAGTAATGGTGCTAGTTTTGACCAGTATCCAGATGTACTGTTTAAAAGCTTCAGTCAGACTCAGGAGGTCACATGTATGGATGAGGACATGTGACCTCCACTGAAAACCCAGCAGAACCAACTCTCTGGGAGGTCCTTGTGAGTTTACACGACTCAGTAATGCACTACAACATTGTTATTGTTAATTGTGATTCATTACCCTGTTAATCACTGAGCTGAGCTAAAGTAAATCAATAATAAAAGATAAATAATATAAATATTAGAATAAAACCCCAGAGAGTAAATTTGACACCCCTACCGGTTAGGAAGGAACAAGCCCCGCCTTCCCCTGCTCCGTACCGTTGTTGTGCCAAAACCTGATTTCCAATGTTTCCCTGTGTGTTTTATGTGTAACATCATTACGTATGTTGCTAAATAGACTTTGGTGAACAGGTATTACAAAGGGGTTATATATAAAATTAAAAAATTACCTGTTTCTCAAGTATCTTTGTAACTGTGTTATTGTACTTACATTATAATCAGCCAGCTCCCTTTTGTCCACTTAAAATATGTTTACAGAACTATTTTTGCATTTGTTGCACAGGACCAGCTTGTTGCTGGAAAATAACTATAAACTTGAGAAACTGAGCAGATATCCATACCGGAGATCTGCATGGACCTTGGAGAAACGGACCTGATTTGTTGTGAACACTTTGGAACCATCGTGATCTGCACGGGCGCAGAGGAAGCGGACAATATCCTCTCTGAGAGTTGAACATTAGACCCGTGCTGGCTTTTTTTTGTGGGATCGTGCGACCTGACGAGGAAGATGGCGAGCCGTTCCCTTTGAACCCAACCACAGCCATTCCGAGTTGGCCCAGAAGGGCAGGTTGCTCTTCTCTCACGAAGAATTGCAGCAGAGCGGTTGGACAAAATCACTGAACACGGACTATTAAGCCGGCAAGACTGACATATCTGAGCTCAGGTTACTATTAGTATTGCTGTTGTTGTATCTTATTTAATGTTTCATTCCTGTTTATGAAGTGCTGTTTAATTGTTGCTATATAATTCAGTACAATTCAAAGCAACTTTACCTGTGGCTCCACTCATTCTTCTGCACGCCACTCACCATGACCCTCCTGCGAGTCGAGCTATTGGCCCATTCTCTCCATCCTACTTTAACTTCCCCTACCCTGTCCTGTACTTGGCTACTCTTGCCTGGATGGTTGAGCAGTACATATGATAATACAGATAAACCTGGACGATATTCCAAACTGTCATCATCTCTGTCAGCCGGGATCAGGAACACCGTTACATTACTGTTATTTTAGGCCCTGTGCTATGATCTTACTAAAGCTATGTTTAAACAAGCTCTCTCTAAATTTTTTCCAAAATAATATCTAAAACTGTACACTGAGCACACAAGACCATTTTTTTATTTGTTGCATTTATTTAGCAGCATGACAGTGAAGAGAACAGAAGAAAGCTGGGACAAAGAGGAGCAGCGAGCAGCTCAGGGCCTCTGCATCATTAACCTTTCAGGATGTAGATCACAACAGTGACCTAAACCAGTGCCCCATGTTCATCTAGCCCTCTCTATGTGCAGACAATAATACTGAGGAATACTATCATGTTCCCGTCCATCCACTCAAGGAGTCGACATAATCTGGTGTTGGTTATGCAGCCTCAGAGCAAACTATTGGAGAGTTAATAAGGGAATTATTTACTGTTTTAATGTCTCGAGTTGTTTTAAAAACACCTTTGTCATGTTTTCATTATTTTAAGCAAATCATGATGAAAATAATTAGCAAAATCATGGATCCTGGTGTTAATTTAAAGAGCAAAGCTTCAGCAAATCAGACACCACAAATAAACAAATTTACTGCAAATGAGTGAGCCCCAGTATAAACTGATTGTTCCTTGCAGTGGGTATTTAGTCAAATGTGTGTGTGCATGCGTGTTAATTGCGGACTAAATAATGCAGAGCTTAAATTTAAAAGAAGACAGAATAAAAGAGGCTACATCTTAAAACTGAATAATACAAACAAAGCAATGCTGAGAGGAGATATGGGTGTCCGTCTGATCTCATTCTGTCTTGTGTTTTACAGCCAGCGAGGCCAGGCTCAGGAGCAGGATGGTAGTTTTTCCCAGAAGCACCCAGAACCA